AATATTACTGCTGCCATCAAGCAGGACACCATTATGGGCAGTCTGCATGAGGATCTTTGTATTGTTCGTGCTCAGTAAAGTTGACCTTAGTTTGATAAGCATGGTAGCCATGCCTAATAGTGAGTTTGTTACATGAGACTTTGTGCTTTTTCGTTTTCGTGCCGGTCTTCTGCTTTTCGAACGTTTCCAACGTGCTGGCTACTACCGGTAGTAGCTACTAGCTAGCTAGCTAGCGAGCGATTTCGAGGACTTGTGCTTTTTCGTGGAGCAAGCGATTTCGAGAGCCAAAGAGGTGCGAGATAATAGAGGTGCGACGTTATCTTAACAGTGGGTAGTAGAGGTGCGAGCCTCATTTTTCTTATGTGCGAGGACGTGATGTTTCGTTCGCTCACTGGTATTAACCATCCACCTTGCATACACCAGGTGTTGGGGGTACGATGGATACCTCTTGATACCTCCTGTAGGATGGCTACCACAGGTACAGGCTCTCAGTATTTCTCTCAGTTCTGGGATATACTTTTACGGTACCTCTACTGTGCGCACCTTGGGGGCAAGTTTTCTGCACCTCTACCAGTTGGTAGCTAGTATTTCAGGACGACCAAGAAAAGCCTCCCTTTCTTCCGTCTACACGTCCTAATGACCACGTATATCTTCACGTCACTGTTTTTTGTCGCAGTGTTGTCCACATGTACAGCTGTGTGAAAGGATGGTTGCGGAGCTGTTTTAAAAGGCAACCAAGCAAGCAGTGCCAATGCCATATTCCCGGATTACTGAGCACTAACTACACCACCCTGCAAATTGACTTCGACCATATGTTCTGTCCACTTGAGGTCCCTAAACAAAGGTTAAAGAGATGCTTGGTCTTTGGAAAACCAAGTACAACAAAATAGCGATGAGACAGCTATTAAAATACAAACTACTACTAAGTAGTAGGCAAAAACTATGGAAGAGCATCTATCTAGTTAAACATCAAAGCCACGTTGAAACCATTCACTATGTTTTGTACCAGGTATCCAATGCTTACGTTTGTTGAGTCGGGACAATTGTCTGAAGAAGTTAGATTTGAAATGTCGCATAAAAGTCGTATGATGTAGATTTGACATTCTGAACCATAAAACACGAACACTCAATTGTCACAAACTTCTGACGTACACCTTACTGTGGATTGTGTAGTACACTTTTTGATAATGAAGCTATCGCCATAAATGGCTCTCGCGAAGGGTGTCGCCCCAATCGACTGCTGATACGTAGCGCTGGCCGTGGTCCGAGTTTTCAGTACTGCAATTCCTCGGTTGCTTCGTTTTGCTGGTCTCTTCCCAAATTTTTGTCTTTTGCTCCCTCGGCTCCTCGTCACCCCGACAGTTGAACACAACCACAAACAACAAAGTCCCATCTACCAACCTATAAGTAACCTCCACACTACTAGCTAGTAGTAGGAGTATCGATGCTACGTACGAACCTCCAGAGACAACAGCCAAGCCATCATCAGTCCACTCATGGCAGGCAATGAAGAATCAAGCGACGAAGACGAGATTTCGAGAATCCGCCTTCCTCGTGCAAATGGTGCGTAGAAGCAGTACTGAACGTGCAGTAGGACAAGCGAAGAATCAACCTCGGGAATAGACTACAACTAATTGTTTTCTTTCTCTATGCCCTCCGTTGTTGTCCCAACTCTTCCACTGTGCATTGATATCTCTATTCGCGACCTATAGATGTCCTCTGTGGAAGGTAGGCAATCTGCTTAGTCAACTTCTGAAGGTGCTTCTGATCTTCTAATTTTGTCTGCTTGCCTTCAATGACTAATAGAGGAGGTCACGGCACGTCCCATCCGGGCAATCTCGGTTTTCGTATGCTCGTAGAAAAATACAAACCCAAGTTTCAGTCAGCTCCCCGTTCTGAAAAGTCCAAGATAGCCACAGCGGTAGTCATGGCATGGCGGAAACAGAATCCTCCAGGTCGTTTCTTGTCTCTCTCAAGCGAATCCAGAGGCGGTTACAATCTTTGGCATGACATTGGTGACAAGCTTGCCACTAGAAAGGCCAACCAAGGGCTCAGAGAAAAGGGGCCCAATCCTGGTCACCTTGGCATAGCGCCTCCTCCCCCTCCTTCGGCCGCGGCTGCTCCAAGTTCTGACATATCCTCCGTGGCAG